ACACGAGGGAAAGAAATCGAATCGAGAACGATAGTATTCGTGTGAAGCGGAAGACGTTGCAGGCTGTGCTCGAGGAGTGTCAGAGAGCTTTGGAGTTACTCAATCAGGCTGAGGTTAGTCCTGACGACGGCGACAACGGCGACAACGGCGATGGCATCGGGAATCGCGGTGATCAACCGGAGGAGGAATCGAGCAGAAAAGAAGAAGAATTGTCCTCATCGGATCGCGGAGATCCTGAAGCTGATGAAGTACGCATCTCTCTCTCTCTCTACCCCTCTCTAGTTTGTAGGACCTGGACTGAGACTAGATGAACGGAGGTATACTTTGTTATAGAGAGGGAAACTTGCAGACTCAGAGAGAAAGATGGGAATTGTCAATAATGTAGACAGACTTCTGTTTGCGTGTTTGATTCTCCAGGCTGGAGTTAATTTTGCTTACTTGATGATATTTATGTTGATGTGTTTTGGATGGGATTTGATGTTGTCGTAATATATTTTCCTTAAGAAAAGCCTGCAAGTTCTATTTCTGCGGAATTGGGTGTGATGCTAACATCAATTTGCTCGATGTTCCAGTGTGAATCTCTTGTTTAAGAGATGCATTCATCCGTACATGTATTCTTGTTCTTGCTGCATCATACAGTGGCTCGAGAAATGTTTTTATTCTGAAAATTCTCGCTTGTTTATTGATGCAATAATCAGTACACATGTTTTCTGCTTTGCCCGTGGCTCGAAACACGTTTGTATTCCGTATAAAAATCTGTTTTGCTATCACTGATGCCGTAACTTCATTTGTTGTGCAGTTGTATGATCTCATCAAATCTAGAGTTGTGTGCCACGACTTTCTCGAAAAGTTAGAGACAGCTCAAGTCCCGGTTCCTCAGCATGTTACCGGTAAGCGTTCCACGTCTTCTTTAATCAGTAGAATGCTCGTGGCCATCATAGCTATGTATCGCACCATTTTTGGCTATAGAGAGATTGAATTCAAAGTTCTTGCATTGCAGAAGATGGTAGCTCTTGGGATGTAGTTAGCAAAGATGATCTTTGGTGTGAGAAAAGTACGGGTCAACCCGAAGAAGATTATGTCCTTGTTAGGCAAGAAGATATAGTAGACGGCATTGCAAATTTTATGGCTACATATTTATCGTCACTTAAGCAGACAAAGGTATGTAATACCGAGCCTCGTACAGTTGTACTTGCTTTGCCCCGTGACAATAGTTTGACACGTTAAACTTATTCAAATGCTATGTTTTGCAGGACTTGACACCTGATCAACTTCAGAAAGGTAATCCAGAGTTGTCGCTTTCCCAAGCCACCGTCGATTTCTGGTTTTTAACACAACTAGGATATCGTTTTACATTTACACGAAAACCCGAACGCAGTCCGAAGGCTAAGTTCTTTTGGGATCAGAGTAATATTGACCTCCAAATTTCTTGCAGCACTCGGACGGATGTTTTCGGTGAAGAAGAGGAAAGGAAAGCTCCGAAGGGCCTGGGATGGGAGTAAAGTTGCTTACAACGTAGCATCATGGAGCGCAACCGTTATAGGGTAAATGAACACCCTTTCTTATGCAGAAAAACAAAACCCTAAAAAGATAGTTTCAACCGATTTTGATATAAAAACCTTTGTACATGCCGCTCGCCAATTTACGTATTTTGCTTATTTGCAGAATATACCAAAACCCGGTAATCCTCAGGGTCGCCTCGAAAGCCTTCTGGGCGTCATGTCAGGTCATATCGAAACTTGTCTGATCGATGAATTCTCAGAAATTTGCAGAACGGACTTCGCTCGTCGACTCGGTGTTTCAGGTTTGTTGATAAGATACACAGCTTTATATAATTCTAAATTTATTGAATGTGGTAACTCTATGCGATCACTGTAAATAGCATCCATTTCTATAAAATATAAGCATGCAATCTGTGATTTGTTATGGAATTCGTTGTTCCCATTCGGATAAAATTCCGCATCACACACACACACACACACACAGAGATATATATATTGACAACTATAGAGAAACACAAAAAAAAGGGTATAGTAGTGGAGAAACTTACTATTTCCTGTGTATGTATAATAATGTCTGAATGAACATCAAAAGCCCTCAAGATTCCAGATCCGGGACGATTTGCTCCACCCCGGCAGCGAAACCATCTTATGACGAAGTTGTCATCCCGTTTCCGGGGCAGACGAGCTAATGAGATCGGGTTTTCAGTAGTAGAAAGGCTTGTCCTTGTTAATAGCAGTGTCCTTGCAGAGAATGGATCGGACCTCCATAACCAATCTCGTAGGCTCGAGGTCTTTCTCCCGCAGCATGTTTCCGAGTAGCTGTTGCATTTGCGATGCGAACGTGTCAAAGCTTTGAATAAACAAACACGTGAATGAATAACAAGCTTTGAATAAACAAACACGTGAATGAATAACTATCGATCCGCAAAAGGACATGAAATGGTTCGTCGAACCTCTATGGTCTGAATATGAAATGCTTTCAGTGACAGCGACACGAGAACCTTTGTACCTTGCTCTGTTCCCTTTCCTGTACTCCAAAAAGCTTAGGACAACCTGCGGTCGTTCAGAAAGTAGTTAACATAGCTTCTCTGAAACCATATGTTACATCTACTCATTTCAAGTTTCCGGTTCGGTTCGATTAGATTATACTATCTATTTTATTCGGTTTTTCAAAATTTATAATCAAAATTTAAATCTATTTGGTTTGGTCTAGTTAATCGTAAAAAAATTATTAACTGAACAAAAATCAAACAAAAATTTGGTTGGGTTGCAATCTAACAATAACAATGCGGCAAACAAAATCAAATTATTCAAAACGCGAAAGAGTTTACGTTTTGACGTAAAGTTTAAACATTTTATTCGCTAGTAACCCAGATTAAGAAAACTAATTTTACTATTCAATATTTACGTGTAAATGAAAAAAAAATCAACATGTGGATATATTAATAAAAACTAAATCACACCAAAGTAACTAAACTGAACCGATTTATTTAATAACCAATCGGTCGACCAATTTTATTAGGTTAATAACTAAAGCGAACCGAACAGTTAATCCACATGCATAACCGACCTGTACTGTCACTATAATCAAAATGCTATAGCTTGGTTGGGTTTAGTTTGGATTTTCGGTTATTAAACTGAATTTGCCACCCCTAACACCTGGATTACCAGATTGCACCTAGACATTATCCAAAGCGACATCTTTTGGTATACGTAACTTGAAAAACAAAATACCTGACCTCATATTCACCGGTTTAGAAAGATAACCCGGATTTTTTTTATAGTCTTCCAATAGTTTTTTAGGAAAATTTGCATAAATATACAAAAAAAAAATTCTTTACATTCTATACTTCTACTATTGTAATCTTTGTATTCTATACTTTTTTAAATTAAAATGATCATCATACCCTTTTATATTATTATAACCTGCAGACTTCCTGTATTTATAAAAAAACTTTTGAATGAATTTAGTTTTCCTCCACATACATGAAAAAACACTTATATGTATTTTATTTTATTATATAAATATAGAAAAACACTTGTATGAGTTTCGTGAAAAAATACTTACAGGTTAGCAGGTGCGACAAGTGATGTAGTTGATCTACCGCAAGTCGTAAATGCCGAAGATGACCTGCCACAGGCCGCAAGTCATTTGGCAGACCGTAGGTCATCTGGCGTAGACTGTAGATCATTTACCGCAGAACGTAAGTCATTTTTCACAGGTCATCTTCTACAGTTTTCTTTTACAGATATTTCATCAAACACCTTATGTGCATATAAAAAAATGATCAGAATATCATAGAAAAAGAAATCAACCAGAAGAGTATTTGAATAGATTAAACAAACTGTAAGAAATAGAAGAGATAGAGAAAATGTTGGAGAAAAAATAAGATCAAATAGCAAAACGTTCTGATTTCTAAAAGATAAATTGTCACAAAAAATACTTGCATGAATTTCATTTTCCTCCGCATACATGGAAAAAACACTTATATAGATTTTGTTTTCTTATATAAGCATAGAAAAACACTTGCATGAGTTTCGTGAAAAAACATTTGCAGGTTAGCAGGTGCGATAGGTATCGTAGGTGACCTACCGCAAGCCGTAAGTGTCAAAGATGACCTGCCGCGGGCCGCAGATCATCTGACAGACCGTAAGTCATCTACCGTAGGCTATATGTCATTTACCGCAGAGCGTAGGTCATTTTTCACAAACGGCAAGTCATCTTCTACAGTTTTCTTTTACAGACATTTCATCAAACACCTTATGTTCATACAAAAAAATGATCAGAATATCACAGGAAAAGAAATCAATCAGAAGAGTATTTGAATAGATTAGATAAACTGTAAGAAATAGAGAAGATAGAGAAAATATTGGAGAAAAAATAAGATCAAATAACAAAACGTTTCGATTTCTAAAAGATAGTTGTAGTGAAATCACATTCGTAATTATCTGGTCGTAGTCGTAGTTATATGGTCATAGTGAAATTACAATCGTAATTATCTGGTCGTAGTCGTAGTTATATGGTCTTAGTGAAACCACAGTCGTAATTATCTGGTCATAGTCGTAGTTATATGATCGTAGTGAGTCATAGTCGTAGTTATATGGTCGTAATGAAATCACAGTCATAATTACGTGGTCATAGTTGTAGTTATATGGTCGTAGTGAGTCATAGTCGTAGTTATATGATCGTAGTGAGTCGTAGTCGTAGTTATATGGTCATAGTGAAATCACAGTCGTAGGCCGCAGGTCCGCGAGTCGTGGGGCGATAGTCGCAGATCCGCAAGGCGATAGCCACTGGTCCGCAGGGCGATAGCCGCATGTCTGCAGGTCCGCAGGACGATAGCCGCATGTCGTTGGGCGATAGCCGTAGGTCTGCAGGTACTGCAGGGCGATAGCCGCAGGTCTGCATGGCGATAGCCGCAGGGCACAGATACCGCAGTTGACCTGCCAGGTGCCACAAGTGACCTGCTACAGGCCAAATGACCTGCCGCAGAGCGCATGTCATTTTTCACAGATCGCAGGTCATCTGCCCAGTTTTCTGGTACAGATATTTCATCAAACACCTTATGTGCATGCAAAATGACCAGAATATCACAGAAAAAATCAACGAGAAGAATATTTGAATAGATTAGATAAACTATATAAGAAATAAAGGAGATAGAGAAAATATTGGAGAAAAAAGAAGATCAAATAGCAAAACTTACCGATTTTTAAAAGATAGATTATCACACAATCGTAGAGAAATATTGTAAAGGGTAGTTTGGGTATTTAGAAAAAAAAGTATATTATGCAAAAGTTATTTTTTTGTGAGATATTTTACAAATTTTGTTTTTGTTTTGGTACACTTTGCCAACTGCCCCTTAGTTTTTTTGGGGGGTTCGGAACTCAACTAACCTGTCTCAAGCGATCCCAACATCCACGACACAATGCTATGAAGACGTGCGTCTCGCAAACAGAGTGAAGATGATTCACTGTGTTGGTGAGCAGCTCTCTCAGCGATTGCAGTTTGGCTCTGATTTCTGATTCTCCGATGCTTTCTTTCGAGTCCTAAAGGATCTTCTACAATGTCATCGTTTTCTGGAGCTTCGTCAAAGATTACCAAAAAAACGATGTTTAAAAGCGGTTAGGGATTGCAAATATCAAACTAGATCCCATGAGCAGGACTGAGAAACATGGAAAAGTGTTGCAGACCATGTGGAAGCCTTAAACTAGAAATGCATCCGCGTCCGTTTGTAATAGACGCGGGTCGCAGTGACAGATTCATAAAAAATTTATACCGGGAGCATATTATTATATAATAGAAAAACTAATAAAAATATATTATCATAAAAATATTATATTTTACAATTGATTTCTACAATTCTTCATTTTTTGAAATCTATCTATAACCGTTCCATTTGTAATTGTCTGAAATATATCTTTTTCGATGAAACAAATCAAACAAAAACTCAAAAATTGATCACTAATCCAGGTGCGCAAACCTATCTTCACAAAATTCATTGATGAAAAACATTTCTCAACAGTCGCGTAGCAACAGGCAAAATCAATGCTATCTTCAAAAGTCTGTATACCAATGGATATGAAAGATGTTTCTTTGTTTCCACTATAAGACGAACAAGATCTCCAAGATTAACCAAATTAAAAAATATGTCATCTTCCATCAGATTGTCGAAGTGCATATCAGTTCATGTCGAAGAGATATTTGCTCTGAAAAACTAAAGTCATCTGGATAAAATCTAGCCAATTTCACCAGATTTGGTATGTTAAACTCACAAAATGAGTCAACAGTACTCAAAGTTGCCATACAAATTATCAATTCTAAATTTACCTTATCAAATCGATCATTGAATCCTCGAAGTTGGAAATCCATAACAGTATAGAAACAATCTATCTGATAGTGATGCAAGTTGCTATTGCGGGTTTTTTTCTTATCCTCATTGAATCCACATAATCTTCCTCCATATTGATTATTTCAATATCGTGTTTCTCACAAAAAGAAGACACATTATCTAAAAGAAATTCTATCCAACGTCTCTTTGTTGTTGTAATTGTCTCTTTGTAGATTTTACCAATGGAATGACATTCAAGATGTCTTGATCTTTTTTCTGTAAAGCCGTTAATAAATTATCTGTTAGTCCTAGGATGAACAACATAAGTTGTAGATAGAACACAAAATCAAATGTGTGAAAAGATCTGAGAAGTCCATAGGCTTGACGATTTTAACTGCATCTGTACCGCCATTCTCAACATACTCTAGCACATCAATGACAGAAGAAAACAACTCAACCAAGCGCAACAATGTTTTGTAATGAGATCCCCAACGAGTATTTCTATGTCTCTTCCAAGTAATATCTTGATTCAACCCAGTTCTTATACTAATTTCGCCATTATTAATTTTTCCGTTCACTTTTATTCTATTGTTTTCTCGA